TTTACTTCTGTTGATTCTCCGTTCTTTTAAAGCTCATGCTCTGCTCTGTATTATTTAATTATTGACTTTTGTTTCGTGAGAAACACGGGAGAAAGTTTGACAGTAATAGTAAAACTGCTCTAAACGTCGTGGGCAGAATCAAGGGAAGAGTCGCGCTGTGTGTTGAATATAGTTTTTATTTTGACCACCAAATGAGTTTCAGAAATTATCTGGGAACTGCTGCAAAACACTAATCAGCCAGTTACACGAACCAGCTACCGGTGTAGGACAAGAGAGCATATTTGGGGGTGAGGTTGTCTTCTAATTGTTCACTTCCCAGGTTTCAATAACACCGTTAATCGCAAGAAAAACTTTGCTGGTTTTTGTTGCTTGACTTCTAGGCAGCTCCTCCTCCAATAAGTTGGAGAAACTGGGTTGCTTGTTTATAAACTTCTTTTCCTTCAAGTCTGGCCTTGAGTCGGAGCCTGGCAGTCTGGAGGGAAGGAACACACCACACAGGCCTGTGGGAATGGTGAGAAAAATCCCAGCATTAGTGGAGTGGCAGAAACAAACCCAGGGTAGGGGATCCTGTTGGTAAGGCCTGCCGTTCCTTTCACAGTTTTCACCCTTTGGGCTCTTCATTTACTTTTACAAACTGATTACTATGTAAATGATGTTTGGAGAAGAATATTTTCACCAGTTGTAAATGAAACCTTAATATAAAAGATATGTCAACCCACCTCTCCTTCCCCAAAAGAAAGGAGAACTGTGAGTTAACTAGGTCCCTCTTGTACTCCAGACCTGTGATACTGCCCTTCACAGGCTATGCAAAATTAGCAAGAATCATTTGCTACCAAACTAACTAAAAGCACACTAACACGCTAGTAGCCTTAAATTTGAACTTGTGGCCCAGGTGTTTGTTAAATGCTGGAAAGTTAGTTCTCACTGTGTATTCATTAACTAATACTCAAAATTCTTTTCTTGACCCTTGCAGACCCTTCCTATTTGTGTCCTATTCCATAACCCAGCTTCTTACACACACCAGAAAAAAATAACAGAAGACCAGTCAGAGATAAAGACGGAGAAAAACTATAGAAGAATTTAGGAATGTTTTTCCTCCTCTAGAAGAAATGTACATTGCCTTTGATGTTATTCATTGAACGGGAAAGAGTATGGATGAGTCTGAATGTGCAGGGAGGAGGATTCCTCAGAAATATAATATTTTCTCCCTCCTTTAGCTGGAAGTAGCTGATCAAAAGCAAAGAGAAAGCACACTGTTGCTTGTGATGAAGAGGCCAAAGTTGTGTTTGTTGGAAAGACCTGAAAACATGACCAGAGATGAATCAATACACTTGGCAGAAGGTTTAATAAGTTATAATCCCTAACACATTTTTTTTATTTTTAAAAAAGTCAATAGTATTTATTGACTTATTAAGGAAAAAGAGATTTAAAATTATGGATTATTTGGTAATTGATGGCTCTAGTGTATTGCCTTTTAAATCAGCAATAATCTTGATCAGAAATTGCATTTACTGGTGATAGGGATGCAAATTAAAAGCCTGTGGAAATTATTCAAGTTCTTGAGTAACATCAAGAACATAATTTAGGAAGCATTGAAATCAAACTTAGATGTCCTACAAAAAAAAGAGAACTTTAAATGGGTTTAGAGGAGTAGAGCTTTTTCTTATTTCCTCAGAAGGTCTTGTTTTCTGGTCTCTTCATATCAAGGACTGCTGCTTCCCTCACAACATCATATGTAGGACAAAAAGCACCCACTTAGAATTCGCCTTCCACATGGGCTTAAGTGGGAAGGTAGGGCAAATAAATAGTGTCTTTCCTTGGTTGGGAAGGGGAGGGACACTTAATCATCAGCTCTGACCCAAAAGGGGGGGATTAGAGGATTCCTCAAGAAAATCCAAAGAAACTATAATTGAGTTTCTCTTTTGCCATTAACAAAACAAACAAGGCTCTCTTGTAATTTTTAATAAACATTTGTAAGTGTTGAACAGCTTTAGAAGCTTCTAAAATTTCCAAATATGCTCTGCTTTTATTGGTGGTTTTATTTTGTTGTAATTTTTCAAATGTATTTTTGGGGGGGGTACTGAAGTACTGGATACATTGACAATAAAATGGGGGCCTTTCCTAAATTACATTTTGCATTTTAAGACAATCTTTACTCAATAGAGGTATTTTTAAAAAATTAACACCTGCCCTCGGTTAGGTTTTGAATGTAAAATACTCATTCACAACTGTTGGAATATCAGGACTGGATTTATAAAGCGCCTCTTCAGTCTTTAGGATTAGGAAGCTCAGGTCTAAGTTTTAAAGGAAGTTGCTACTTTGCGATATTTGTTAATCAAATAACACCATACTTTCAAACACTTGTCAAAATGGCAAATCCCGAAAATACCAGTGAAAAATAAATTGCTGAAATAGTAACTATACAAAACGTGTATAACCCTTAGGCAATGATTGTCCTGTTATGGAAAATGAGAAATTTACTAAGGTCAATCAAGGCTCTTTTGCCCTTAAGGAGTAGAGAGTGGGGGAGGAGGGAAAAGAGGGAGAGGGAAGGACACGCGACAAACTTAAAACAAACGGGGGGTATTCAGTCAACAAGGCAGGCAGCGCTCGGAAGGGGTGGCGTGTACTAGTCAGCTGTGTGCTCCAGAGCTTTCCAGAACCAGGCTGTTTCGTGCTTTGCATTTTCCTTTAAACCTGGCCCTGTGTCACAGGGGTACAATAGGAGGGGGTTTTTTGATGTTGGGAATCGGCAGGTAGGAAAGGAAACCTGATCCGTCCCAAAAGACTGCAATTAAAGTCTTAACCGCCACCCATCTGTCGTGGGACACTCCCTTCCCCTTCCCCTAGCAAAACTACCGGCGTTCTTTGTGTGAGCAGGGGAGAAGAGAAGACAGGTTCTGCGGCCCCACCAGCAAAGGGAAAGAACATTTCCAGTTTAGGCGCACGCTGGGTGACTGCGCCTAGGCCAGGAACCGCTACGAAGGGCAGCCCAGGTGTGGTGCCTCTTTCCCGACTGGCCTTGGTGCTCTGCGCTCGCCTCTTTCTCCACTTCTCTATCGCTGCTTCTGTCCAACCAGCCCAAAGCCACCCCGAGACCTGACTTGAAGCACTTCTAGGCCTAGCAGCTAAGGCCCGTCGCATCCCCCACCTGACCCTTTGGCTGTCTTCAACTTGCAATAGGACTCAAGCTGCTCCCCCCTTTTCCTCGGCAATTGGGTCTCCCCACCATCCACCAGCGGCTCGGCTTCGGTGTCGGGCATCAGGCGCAATCCCAGCCCAGGCTCTCTCCGTGTCCACCCCTCTCGGCTCTCCGGACGGGGGCCAGGCTGGCCGCACGAACAGCCAGAGTGAGTGGTCCCTGGCAAATGCTGGGCAATGAGGTAGGGAAGAGGTAATATTCTGAAGTAAATTTCCTCTGACTTTGCATTTTGGGGTGGAATTGGTCAGGGGTTCAACAATCCCAGGGGTTCTAGTCGGCTTGCATCCAGTGTCTCAGTGCAGAGCCCTTCAAGATACTCCTGCACCCGACACCACCCGCACGCACTCACTCGGGGGTAACTCACCAGGTAGATAGCACCCTGGGCTGCTGCAGACCATCACTCATAACGCAAGGTCCTAGCTGGCATCTCTGCCTCCTCCTCTGACTCTGGGCGCAGGCTCGCGGTCAAGTTCTCCTTGCGCAGTGGACAGTGCACGCCCGGCCCTGGCACACCTGACCTCGGGGCTAAACTCCGCACAGTCGCCGGCATGCAAAGGGGAGGGACGAGGAGGGCGCGCGCCGCTGCTCCCGGCGGGCTCCGAGCCGAGCCTGCCTCGGCAGCGAGAACACGCGCAGCTGGAGTCGCCTCCAGTGGAGTCTTCCAGAAACACTCCTTACACTGTACCGCGGCTCCCTGAAAGTTTTGGCGGGGGCACCATACCTGGAAGCCGCCTAGATGCCGGGCGTTGCAGAAGCGAGGCCTCCGCGCGCTCCGGGAGGTGGAAGCGCGGCAGCGGCCAGGCTTTGCGCGCAGGCAGGTCGCGGTGCTCACCGCCGGGCGGTGAACGCACACCCTAGGTGCCGCCTTCACTGCTATGAGGAGGCGTGCGTATTCCAGCAATTGGGTCGTTGGGAGAGGAAATCAATATTTAAAATGCTCCAAGAGAGCTCTAATGAACGCAGGTATTTAAAGAAATACTCTCTTTCCGGGCTTTCAATGGAAACGCATAAAATCGCGCGCGAGTGTTTGTATGTAGTGGGGGTGGGGTCTGGCTCTAATTGAGGTTTCTTTGGGTGTGACACCGCTTATTCCTTGCAACTCCTCCTCAACTTTGTGGATGGAGCGTTTGTGACGGCATCGCCTTAATAAAACCACAAACATAAGCCTCCCAAGGCCTTTAATTCTCAGGGGTGAGTGGGGCGGCCAGTTACCTGCTGGCGTCTTCCAGGTGGTCCAGACTCGGTTCGGGCCGCAGAGACCAAGGGATGCCGGAGGCAGTCAGCCCCGGGCCCTAGAGAAAGAGCAGTTGCGGAGGAGACGGTGCGGCTCAGACCCGGGACCGACTCCGGCCCCGCGGAACCGTGCAAGAAAAGCTGGGATTTCGCTGCCGGAGGCTTCCTGGCCACCGCTTCCCGGAGTCTGGAGTTTGATAAATATAGCCTGGCGTTTGCCCCTGAATTAGACTTCGTTTCCTTATTTAGCCCTTGCACAATGATTTTAGATGATGTCACTTAGAGCTAAACGAGAAAATTGATCTCAGATTTGCTTGGCCTCTAAAGCCTGGTTAAGCAGATTGAGAATTAAAAAGACAGAGGAAAAAGCAAAGGGATGGGGGGGAGGGGAGTGTTGTGTGCGCCCTAGAGTGTGTGCACCCAGGGGAGGGCGCGCGGCGCTGCTGAGAGCGCCCCCGCCTCTTCTGGGCGGGGGAATCTCACTCACCAATGAAAAGTAGTCACCGACTGCAGAGGAAAAAAAAGTTTTCCTGTTGACTGTTGGAAGCGAATTGAGCAATTATCTAGTTTACCTTCTCCTCTTGGAAGTTAACGATTGGCGAGATCTTGGCTGCGTTATTGACACAACACTTTCTATTGATAGAAATAAGTAGTGATTGTCCCTGTGTCATTGGTGCGCCAAGAACTCTGCGATGGGCTGGCAGGAGTCCATTGGGCTGGGTAGGCAGGTTCGGCTGGTGATGCTGGGGAGGAGGAGGAGGAGGCTGCTGGTGGTGATGGTGCCCGTCCCCCTCTCCGCAGGTCTGTGACAAGCAGGGAACAAGGCAACGACAGCGCAGCCCAGCCCGGGCTGACGGACGTTGGCGTCTCAGACATGGACAGTAGCTACCACAACGCGACTGCCAAAATGTTAGCGACAGCTCCGGCCCGGGGCAACGTGATGAGCACCTCCAAACCCTTGGCTTTCTCCATCGAACGAATCATGGCTCGCACCCCCGAGCCCAAGGCCCTGCCAGTCCCCCACTTCCTGCATGGAGCCGTGCCCAAGGGGGACTCCAAGCACTCTCTCCATCTTAACTCGTCGATCCCTTGCATGATCCCCTTCGTGCCTGTGGCGTACGACTCGAGCCCCAAGGTTGGAATGACGGGCTCGGAGCCGCGGAAGGCGAGTCTGGAGGCTCCGGCGGCGCCAGCAGCTGCGGCCGCGGCGGCCACAGCGCCCGCGTTCAGCTGTAGCGATCTGCTTAACTGCGCACTGAGTCTCAAGGGTGACCTGGCCCGCGACGCGCTGCCGCTGCAGCAGTACAAGCTGGTAAGGCCGCGTGTGGTCAACCATTCTTCCTTCCACGCCATGGGAGCCCTGTGCTACCTGAATCGAGGTGATGGCCCGTGCCACCCGGCGGCAGGCGTTAACATCCACCCGGTGGCCTCCTACTTCCTCAGTTCCCCTTTGCACCCGCAGCCAAAAACGTATTTAGCCGAAAGGAATAAACTGGTGGTCCCGGCGGTGGAGAAGTACCCCTCGGGAGTAGCTTTCAAAGACTTGTCCCAGGCTCAACTGCAGCATTACATGAAAGAAAGCGCCCAGCTTCTGTCGGAAAAAATCGCGTTTAAATCCTCTGACTTCAGCCGAGGCTCTCCTAATACCAAACCCAAAGTTTTCACTTGCGAAGTGTGTGGAAAGGCAAGTACTATGAAAAAAGGATCTCTTCTCTCTCTCTCTCTCTCTCTCTCTCTCTCTCCCTTTTAAATTTTATTTTGCAATTATGTGTATACAATTATATGTACATGGTTGTTATAAAGTTATCTGCCCGATTTGATTTCAAAGTACATGTTGAGCTAACCTGCTCTACTTGTGTTTAACTTTAAGGTCTTTAATGCGCACTATAACTTAACCCGTCACATGCCGGTGCACACAGGAGCCAGACCCTTCGTTTGCAAAGTGTGTGGAAAGGGTTTCCGTCAGGCCAGCACTCTGTGCAGGCACAAGATCATTCACACCCAGGTGTGTTCCTCTGTCTGGGTTTCATCTGTTTTACTTCAGAACGGTTTGTAGAAAATGGCCAATGAACTTATTCATTAGTGTCAGGTCTGTTTTTAAATGTGCTAGCTGGATATGAGGAAATTACATGTATTGTTTGCCTTTGTTCTGCTTAAAAGCAGGAGAGGGAGTATTACTGTGTTTTTGAATTTACAGGACTCAAGTTAATAACAAAATACCTTAACTTTTTTGCTTTTCCTCTCTTCCACTCAGGAAAAACCTCACAAATGTAACCAGTGTGGCAAAGCATTTAATAGAAGTTCCACTTTAAACACGCATACCCGAATACATGCCGGCTACAAACCGTTTATATGTGAATTTTGTGGCAAAGGATTTCATCAAAAAGGTATGGAACCAGGGAGGTGTCTTTCACTGTAGTCTTACCTAAAACACTAATTGTTTCAGGATATTTTAGAAAACAATTTTTAAAGTGCAGCTAGTTTACTGACCTGTGTGTTGTCATCCCAAACTCCTACCTGCAAGTCTGATTAGTCTTAAAGAAAAGCAGGGTGCATATACTGAGAGGGTACTTTTCTTAACCACTGTTCTCCGTTTAGATAATTAAACTAATAAATATTTATTAAAATGTGGAGGGAAGGGCCACATCCTTGATGTTTATAAATAAGCTTGGGGAGAGAAGTGCAGGCAGGGAGCTCAGCCCTGCACCAGCTCTCTCTGTACTGGCTGTCGGCTGTTGGCAGTCAGAGCTGTGGCAGCTCTTCCTCTAGCCTCCTCCTTCCACCCTATTCTCCCTCCTTTTGGAACTCTTTCTTCTGACCCACATCCCTGTCATTTGTCTTTTTCAGGGAATTACAAAAATCACAAGCTGACCCACAGCGGGGAGAAGCAGTTCAAGTGCAATATCTGCAACAAGGCTTTCCACCAGGTTTACAACCTAACCTTCCACATGCACACCCACAACGACAAGAAGCCTTTCACCTGCCCCACGTGCGGCAAGGGCTTTTGCAGGAACTTTGACCTCAAGAAGCACGTCCGCAAGCTGCACGACAGCAGTCTGGGGCTGGCCCGCACGGCTGCCTGGGAGCCGAGCTCCGACCAGCAGCCGGCTCAACAGCAGCCAACGCCCGCGGCGACGCTGCCCTCTCTGCCCCCCCAGCTGCCAGCCCCTGGGCCCCTGCAGCCTGGGCTCCATCCGAGCCACCAGTGATCTTGGCCAAAGTCCTTTCCCAGCTTCAGCCAGGGTCCCCACTACTGAGCTAACGGCAGAGTAGAGCTGGACCTACAGATCCAAGCTGGTTTGCAGAACCTAGGGCATGTTGGGCCCCACACAGCACCGACCAGAAGCCTTTGAATTGTCCAGCCTTTCCTCTTGCATGCACCTGCTAAATGTTTTTGTCTTATATTCTATATAGGCATTAACAAGTATGAAAACAATTGGGGTTTTGTTTTTCTGAGTTTTTTAATTTGGAAAAACTTTTCCTCTTGGGTGGAGAGATGGTGTTTGTTTTGTTTTTTAAAAACACAGTTCTGCTGTATTTATTGAGATCTGTATTATCCTACCCGGGAATGCTGCACCATTTTAATTTTATTATTGTATATACTTCCACTGTGTTGATTCTGTGGTCTCAAGATGCCTGCTGATTGTTTATAATCATTTCCTCTTTCCCCAAAGTAAGAAAACACTGTGTGTATGTTATATATACACATGCATAGATGAGTGTACCTATAAAGGCACATTCTATACTGAACACACACACATACACATCAGATAAGTGTGGTTTATTATGGATGAATTTGAATTTTGGTTTTGATTCTTGCACGTGAAAATTGATTCAATGACTGTTGGAAATAAATACTTGGAATGTGCTTATCTAATTAACAGCTTCAGGGCTCTGTTCATACTATTCATCTAGAGATCACTGACTATGACCTCCTCATCCTCCTTTTTAAAAAGTTCATCCCTATATTAGTATCAACTAATGTTTGATCAGAAAACTTCACAAAGAGCAAACAATATTCTCTCTATATAGTTACACACTTTGGTAAAGTAAAGAAATTTGATAAAGTTCAGAGACAGAAGATGTGGAGTTTTGTAACAGACACGTCTTTGTCGTGGGCCATCTGACATGTTTGTAGTGCTCAGTGAGATGGGCACACCCTGTCCAGGAAACGCGTGTGGTATCGATCCCCACTGGCATTAAAATCACACCTTGTAGAGGGATGGGTATCTATTGTTTGCATCCTGGAGAGATATGCTGACTGGACACAGCCGGCAAAGGGAGCCTCCGTATTTTTAGGTGTGTATATACTTATACAGATGAATATACTTCAATTCAAGGAGGAAACGTATGAAAACCATGGCGGGCACCAGGTCCTTGAAATGCTTCAAGTGTTAATCAGCAAGTCCGCTGTGAGCTTCGGCTCTGGTGTTTTCTAACGGCAAGTCTCTCCTGTTTTCTTGCCAAAACAGTGAAACAACTGCTAAAGACTTTAATTAAGAGGGGTAATTAGTTCAGCTTTATCAAAGACGGGTTGTTATACTATTAGCTGCTCAGTAGAAGCTGCCAGACAAGCTCGCGGGGCAGCACAGCCACCCCGCTGCATTGAGGCCACGTCCGGGAGAGAAACTGGGGGAGCAGGCAGGGGTACCCGCCCCCGCCCGCGGTCCTGGCCACCACGCCGGCCGGGCGGGTGGGTCTCTGCCGCTTCCTGGGCCTCGCACTCCCGCCAGGCACCGCCGCAGCAGAAAATCCACCGCAGATCCGCGCCTCGAGCGCAGGCTCAGGACAGCCCGAGGATTTCCTTCCCGCCCCGGAGAGGGCCAGGACGGTGGCAAGAGAAGCGCCAAGAACGAATTTAAATTGCGGTTCCGCTCACTTTTGTATTCCTTGCGCCGCTCAAGGAAATGGGGCGTCGCGGGCTGCCCGCCGCGGGACGGAGACGGAGACCGGCGCCGCAGAGGCGAAGCGACAATTTTCTCGGCAGTCAGAGCTGGCATTTCAAGGTTGGGAAGAACTGATGGCTGCAGGTGCCAAGAGTCGATGACCCGAGGGGCTCCTCGGAGGCTCAAAGGCAGTGGGGTGACAGACAGTCCTGGTGGGACGACCGGGTCGCGGGACCCCGTGGGACAGTCAAAACGAATCCCAGCGGGGCGCCTTTCGGGGTGGGGGCGCCGAGACGCCCCTGCCCAGAGTTGGACCACAGGATCCCGGGAACCGGAAAGTCCCGATTCCACCGCAGACTTCGGAGGCCAGACTTATCCGCTCTTGCCCTGGGTCGCACACCCTTCACCATCCCACTGGGATCGTTAGATGGAATCCTGACATTTCTGTTTTCCTAAACTCCCCATACCAAACCTGATCCGTACTAGATTTGGCTACGGAAAGATACGGATAACTTTGGAATTCCACAGAGGGGTGGCTTCTGAATCTGAGCGGCTAGCAGAAGTGTCATCTCTCCCTGAATGTGGCAGACAACAGGGAAGTCTTGTCCCAGGCGCGGGCCACATTCCCACACAGCTGCCAATGCCACAGAGGGAGTTTAGGTACATGCCCTGTAGTGTAAGGGTAACCACCTTTTGGAGGTGGCTTAGTGGGATCTTGAAAGCATTTGTACTCCTTGAGTAAATAGAATGAGGTCAGGGATCATTTTAAGGTGCAGAAAATGGTCTTTGCTTCTTGAACTTTTTCTCAATAATTGTTTGAACTTGTTCTCAAAGTCAACACTTTCAAGGTGGCACAATTTTACTGGTTGAAAATAAATGAACACTGTTGAGGAAAGTTACTAAGCCATAAAATACTTCCAGTTAGGAGGTACTTATATGGTAGTCCCATCTTCCAACACATGCCAGTACGCTTTGACTTATATTGAAAAAGGAAGTCTTCTGTGGAAAGATGGAGTTGGTCAGTGGGGGAAAGAAGAGAGAGAGGCTGTTGTAATCTGGAATCCCCTTGTATAAATCTAATTTGGGAGGGTGGGACAGTTACAGAAAAGGCAGGCAAAAGGAAGCACGCAGTGTCTGTCTGTTTGAGTAGCCTGAAGTGGCAATGATTCAGTAGGAAAAGACAAAAATAAATTATCTAAAATAAGCATTCAAGAGATTACTTGTCAGGAGTGAATTATCAATAAACTTTGATTTATGACAAAGCTGATAAAGCTTACTAAACATCAAGGAGAATATTCTTAAAGATAGTATGACTTCAGAGATTAAGTTGGAGGTGGTAAAATGGATGAACAGGGATCCTTAGCTAATAGTCAATGAAAACTTACAATTCTCTGCGTGCTGACAAATATTAGAAGGTGATCCCCTCCCTTTACTATCTAACCTGTGTGTATCTGTGTGTGTTTACATAAATGTTTATGTTTGTTCAGGAAATAGGTACCCTAAAATTACAAATAGCAAATTGGCTGATCCCCTTCCACTTTCTTTTTACCAGAGTTAGCCAGCACATTCTTGTTTAGTAAGGCCAGTGTTCAGATTACCTGCAGAGAGATATGGTTTATCTTCAGTTCTCTCTACAGGAATGAACTTTTGGTACAGAGAAAGGTGGACTGTGGGGCTATAGAGACCAGTTTTAGAAACTTACTGACCTGGGGGCCTTATGTTTTGTTTAGTTTTGGAAATCAGAATATAGAACCAAATTAATAATGTAGATAATTAATTCCTACTAATTTTATTTGAACGCAGAACCCTAATCCTGACTTCTAATAACTTCCTCCCAAAGAATATAGTTTGTTCAGACTTTTAAAATTTCAGAACAAGTTATCATGCTAGATTAGGACTAAGGTGTCAATTTCTCAGTAGTAAATGAACGCATTACTTAGGGGCTTCATCAAAGTTACTTGTTAGTAAAATTTGAAGCTTGGTGCCTTTCTTAGAGAAGAAATGAATTCATAAGACACAATGGAGTCATAATTCCCAGTCACAGTGCACCCTGCTTGATAGGCAACCTTTATATAAGTGGCAGTTAGCAACATCAGAAATCATTTGTTAAATTTGGTGGCAAATCAAAGCATTGACTAAATTATAACTCTAATGGGTATATTTTGTCTTTGTAGAGTATTGATCCCAAAATGTACAATATGATTATATTTTGTCTTTGTAAAATATTTGTCCCAAAATATACAATATAAAACACAAATGATCTCAAATTCAAAATTAGGGAAGAAACAGAGTTTTCTTATCACTTTATAAACCCTTGTAATGAGTAAATCTTTGTTACACATGAAGTGTATAATTTTAAAGGATCATGACTAAATCTCGTACCAAACAGTGCATTTTTAAAAGCATAAACATTAAAGATAAACCTAAATCTCAAGGGGTAAAAATATGCAGTTTTTGACTGGTCCTGAAAAAGTGTTGAACTAGATAAAACATTGTCTTTTTGCTATGATTTGGCTGAAACTACAGATTACTTTCAAACTAGAAATTATATGTTCTTATTAAGTTAATTAATAACAAAAAATTAACTATATTAGAAAGTAGAAGCTACCTTTTCATAAATTTCATTGTTTCTAGAAATCAAAGCATATGTCCATTTCAACTCCAGGGCAGACTAACTAAAAACAAATAAAGATATATTAATCAATACACTGGTCATCTGTGAAACAATTGCTGGTTCAAGCCAGCATGGGTTATTTCACTTTAGCAATAGAGAAGAAGAGGTAGACACCTTGATAGAAAAATCTACCTCTGTTACAATATTTTTCTGCTTGTATTTGTAACATGTGCCCATAATAAACTTTGAGGAAAAGTCAAAATCTATTATGCACATGAATGGGCACAAAGTTATCACAAATAACCATATATATTTTCTGGTCAAGTTTGAGGTGACACTGGTATCAAATGAAATCACAGTGCTATTGGTCATATGGAGATTCAGTTACTAAATAAAGATGAAATAAAATTCTCCAGGACTAATACTTTGCTGTCAGGTGAGTAAATGTTGCTCATTGATACAAAGGTGTTAGAGTGGGGAGAGAAAGCACCATGGATCATTTCCTAACTGGAGCTAGAAATATTTCACAAACTGAATACATCTGTTTGATTTAACTCTGTCTTCTTGATAACAATAATTAGTTTTGTGTGAAAACTCTAAAAGTTCAGACCAATACAAAACCCTCTAATCACAATAACAGACATGTCTTTTGATAACCTACCATAGAAATATACTTTTTCAGTTAAATATGAAATAGGTGAAACAGTCCACGAATGTAAATTGTTATGCAAATCTCTGAATAAGATTTGCATTTTAAAAATTTCAGCGAAAACCTAAGTTTGGAACCAACTTCCACAGGACAAACAACCCTGGTTCCTTAACAAATAATAGTAAAGGGGGTGAGATGGAGAGGAAGAGAGTGAGAAGAAATGGGAAGGGGGGGAAGGGAAGGAAAGGAGGTGGGTAGGGAGGAGGAGGGTTCAGGACAGGGAGGGCAGGAAAACTTATCAGTTAAAAGAGATTTTCAAAACAGAATGACCAATTGCTATGTATGAATCTTATTTCATCCCAATTCAATAAAATAAACTGTAAAAATAAAAGTTATCTGAATCTTAGAAATTTGTACACTGACTGGGTGTTTGATAAAATTAAGAAAATATGTTTACTTTTTAAGATGTGAAAAAAGTATTGTGGTTTTTTTTAAAAAAAAATAGTTCTTTTAGAAAGTGTCTTCAATTATTTAAGCGGGACATGATAAGGTGTCTGGATTTGCTTAAAAATAACACAGGAGAAGGGAAGTGGGTATAGGTACAGATCAGTGAGATCAGCCATGAATCATTAATTGATTAGATTTAAAATTTCACATGTAAAGCTTTTAACAATCTTTTACAGTAAGTTGTGTCACTTTACAAAGTATTTTCCCCATTAAACACTCATAAATCT